TGGGGCCAAAAAACGGGCACAATAGTCATTTGCAATTTTTTAAAATAGTCATTAAAGGGCATTTTTCTTCTATGTACGCTTACTCATAAATCTAATCCGCGTAGTCCTTTTACTTCACCTGAGTATCCACATTTTAAAATGCCACGCTTTGGAGGAAATTGAAAAAAACACTGTAAGAGTAAGGCTTAATTCAGACACCATGTTTTTCACCACGTAAAAATAGCAGATTTGTCATTTACAAAGTTTGACAACGTAGAGCCCATCAAAGATGAGTTTTGGAAGGAATTCCAACTCTCATTAGAAGTCGCCGAGAAAACTTTTGGAATCAGCCAATCGTTGAATAGCCAGAAGTCTGTTTTCATATCTGAGTTTCGAGCTTGCTTTCGGAAAGTCCAATACTTTCCGAAGTAATCGTACCTAATTACGAGGATTTAGACGTATTAATGTTGGCTTCAATCTGTGTAAGAGGGTGTGGTGTGGTACGTGCGAGAGTGCCGCACTGCAGTTTTCTTTCGGGAAGTATTCGAGCATTAGCGTACATTTATTTTGACAAAGAACCCTGAAACGTACGTTTCTAGTTTAAAATAGGGCGCGTTGTAGCGGTGCAAAATAACTTCTGGCTTTAACGAATTCCGTTGATAGGCGGAGGGTGTGACCTTGTATGCTAAAACATTTCTACCTCTATACTGGTGCGAATATTTCTATCTGATATTCACTATTAATAAATCTAAGCTGGTTTATTTTGACATCAGCACTTAGTAATTATCGACTGAGATCATTTATATGCGCGAAAGGATAAATATTATTTGTCAGATGATAAATTGAGCATCTGGGGGAATTTATCCTACGATTCACTGATAGTTCCTGTGCTGTGCCATTATAGCGGACACTTGAGATTGTGGCTCCGGGCCGTGCAATTTGTTCAGCCCGTACTTTGTTAACTGGAGTGTCTATGACTGCTATGCAGGACATAATTCTAGAGCACGTTAATATTAAATATATTGCATGTCTTTTGATTGCGGCTTTCAAATAACTGAAGGTATAATGTGTTTCTAACATCCAAGAAAAGTTTAAATAGAAACGAAAATCTGTAATCATTCACAGCTTGCATCGAAAGTAATGTAAAAAGCAATAAATGCAGTTATTGCTTGATAGTTTGGAAATTGGATATAATCGCATTTCACGGCGCGGCCGATGCGATGCGATTGCAGGTTGCAGCCGTGAACTTTGCTTGCGGCTGCGTCGCTCGCTGCACCGGCGCTGCACTTGCATCGCTTCCTGTTTGTTTGCACACCCTTGTGAAATCATATGCGTAGCGACGAGCCGGTAGAAGTTCGGAAAGAAACCAAAATTTTGCAAATTCAAGGTATTTTTACATTTTTAAGTAGCGTGCGTGAAGCTAGACATTCTAGCTAGTGACGATTGCTTGTCTCAAAAATAAGAGGATAATGTTGGGAGATTTTGGTCTCGCATCATTTTAAAGCAATTAATCAAACTCATGATAACATTTTGATGTAAAATTAAGCGCAATTACGCACGCTATCCGCATTCCAGCGACAGCGACCTTAAGCGCGAGAGCCGAATCTGCAATGGACAAAGTAACGCGACGATAAATTTTAACAGTGGCTTTATTAGTTTGCATAACATTCGCTCGTATACGACGTATGGTGCGTTGGCCAATAGCGAGGGCGTCCTTGACGCACTCGGCCGCGGACACAGCGAGCGCTGCCGTATGCTCCACATGCTCTCTTCCGCGAAACCACGTAAATGGCAAGGAGATAGCTCGTAAGTTGTTTTGTTTACTACATACCTACCACGCAAGAAAAGGTTATTTCGATTTTTTTCCGATTTTGCCAATAATATCGGATATTATGATAGAGCGTGTGTAGGCTTTGGACCGGTGGGAAATATCGGAATGACAGCACGGGATTATAGTATTGACGAGGATTCGCCGGATTACAAAGGGTCAGTCGGCAAGGGAGTTCGCGGATGTGTAATAATAATGGCTGATACATTTTCAAATGAAATATCTTTGTTAGGTGTCCGTACATCCTTTGGAGACTCGAGCTACTTGGTCTGTTACTAAGAATTCGATTTGTTTGGCTAATATCGAAGAAGCTTAGCAATGTTTCTTTACTAAGAACAAAAATGAAGTACTTTCTATTACTTTGCTGAAATCAAAGGTGGATATTTTCAATACTTGTGTAGGAAGACTAGTAGTTAGTTCGCTGACGTCACGCCTTTTTATCTGAAAGTAATTCGCAATAGTAATCGGCTCTGCAAACGTTTGTACTCGCTTATTGGCTTTGCGCGGATATTTGTGTGTAAGTATGGCAAATACGTCATACGCCGTGTATGTTTGTTTGTATTGGAATATCTGCGGTAATGTGCGTTTGCTCAGGTGCTTACAAGTTAACATTGTTTGATAAAGTTTTCTATTGTTACCCAACTTATTTTAATAAATGAGAGTTCATATCATTTCAAATCATAGTTTAGAAAGAGTACTATTTTTCAATAATCTACTAAAGCCATACACCATTCATCATCATCATCACCTCAGCCACAGGACGTCCACTGCTGAACATAGGCCTCCCCTAATGCTTTCCACGTTGATCGATTGGTAGCGGCCTGCGTCCAGCGCTTCTCTGCTACCTTTACGATTGTCGTGATATAAGCAATTAAATCTTGCCTTGCTTGCAGACAAACGGATTTACCTTTGTTGATGATAATCATATAAGTCTACTTACTTCGCACAGTACACAGTGTTTTAGAAACCCTCAAAATCGGACATGATTAAGTTAATGCCATGAGTCGATAGCGTCTTACGTTTCAATCACAAGAGTGAAACTCACGTGTGCTCATTTTACTTGGTTTTTGAGAAAAAAATTGTGAAAGTTGGCCGTTTTTAACATTCCTAAAAATAAAATAAAAAATTTTTTAATAATTAAGAGGGCTAGTAAACTTGTGATAAAGCTGATTCGATTGATCATTAAAAGACGCATGTATTGTACTTTATTTCATTTCTACAAGTCAGGTAGTTCCAGAGATTTTAATTATATTTCATTATTTAGACTTTATTTTTTTTCTTCCATCCTAAATGGAATCCGCAATTTTATTTCATACTGAACAATACTTTGGTATAACTTCTATGTAGAAATATTTTTATCTTTTGTGGATCGTGTCTTGTACCTGAGATATATGAATTTTTATTTTTTTTTTATTTTCGCCTGTACAATTTTTTTATAGCAATGTTTCATCTACGCATTGAAATATAATCTGACGTTAACTATACTCCGATGAAGGGTTGTGTGTGGCACGGGAAGGGGTCCACACTCGTAGGGCGATTGCTAAAACCCATTTAGCAAATTAAATTGAAAAGAATACCTTTCTCTAAAGCAGTACTTTCATTACTTCAACCTTGCCAACACGAACACCAAGACACCGAAGATACTGGAGATACCGAACACAGTACAGAGGATGAAAAGTCCATAATAATATAAACGACACAATGTATTTGGCACGGGAGACACGTATTTTTGACGACGAAGTCCCCTTGTAATTATTCTTTAAAACGCCTTATCATATTCCAATGCGTCGATGAAACATTGCTATAAAAAATTGTATAGGCGAAAATAAAAAAAAAGAAATTCAGATATCTCTGGTACAAGACACGATCCACGAAAGATAAAAACATTTCTATATAGAGGCTATACCAAAGTATTGTTCAGTATGAAATAAAATTGCGGATTCCATTTAGGATGGAAGAAAAAAAATAAAGTCTAAATAATGAAAAATAATTAAAATCTCTGGAACTACTCGACTTGTAGAAATGAAATAAAGTACAATACATGCGTCTTTTAATGATCAATCGAATTAGCTATATCACAAGTTTACAAACCCTCTTAATTATTAAAAAATATTTTTTTTCATTTTTAGGAATTTTAAAAACGGCCAACTTTCACAATTTTTTTCTCAAAAACCAAGTAAAATGAGCACACGTGAGTTTCACTCTTGTGATTGAAACGTAAGACGCTATCGACTCATGGCATTAACTTAATCATGTCCGATTTTGAGGGTTTCTAAAACACTGTGCAGTAGTCAATACACAGCGTTTTCCACGCGTTTATGAGAAGGGTTCGTATAAATTAGAAAACCTTTTTAGCCAAAATAAATTGTAGATTAATCATGAGGTACGGCCTCGCCTCGGTAAATGAATCGATTCTATTGGTTCTTTATAAACACATCCCTCGCTACGCATCCTCGCACATCTCTGGAGGAAACGCAGCCTAATTGATTTCATTATTAAACATTGTCAACGGGGCATATTGTAAGCATATTACAATGTCTACGCTCCGTCTGCCCGAGTCGAGCGAGTTCTATTCGTTTACTCTGCGTCAACTAGATAATTGACAACATTACATCGCCTATTGCACTCCGCGCACTTGTCCAAACTAACTCAAACACGATTCCAATTGGAATTTATTTGGACTTCCACTTGTTGAAAGGTCAGTGAAGTCACAAATGTACCAACATGTTGAAAGAATGTCATGAGGAAAATTGGCACTCATTTTGAATGCAAAACAACATCGGCAAAAAGCTTTAGGTAGCTTCTTTTAAGCAGGGAATCTTCCATGTCCAAACACGTTGACTAAATTCTTCCACATGTCTTAATAGGCAGTGATGTAATCTTCATTAAGGCAGGGTTCCACCATCTTACTTTATCTATAAAGAACGTCAAGTCTGTTAAACTCCATACAAAAACACCGGTTAAAGTTATAGTTGAAGTTGCAACTGAGGCAAACAATTTCAAGTTCCTTCTCTTCAAGTAAGAAGCCCCTCCCCAACCCGTCTGGCCAGCGTGGGTAGTGTAGGCCAATTTCTCCATTTGCCCCTGGTAAATTGTAGTTTTGCTCCTGTAGTGGAGACTAAATGACCTGATGATAATGAAGTAAGAAGTGTTAGATCTTCTAGCCTCTAATGGGAACCCTTTGTTGTTGCAGAGACATCAGTACAGTGCGTGGAGAGTGGTCGGCGCGTGGCATCGAGGACAGCGGCCGGCTGCCGTCGAGCGTGCATGACGCTGCACACAACCTCCAATACTGTCCGCAGGTCAGCCGATAGGGACACTAGATGCCTTATAGCTGCTCAGGAATCGTCACCAAGGTACCAGGCTTAGTTGGGATTAGGCCCGGTTTCCACCAAAGTGAAGCGAAGCAGAAAAGTGTGTTGAGCCAATCAGATTACATTATTTCCACTTTAGTCTCTGCGCTGCGTCGCTGTCAAATTCGACGGCTCGACACTTTTCCGCTTCACTCCTCCTTGGTGGAAACCAGGCCTCAATGAACAACACAAGAAGAGCTTATTAATCTTAGGACCAGATTTTTATTGTAAAAAAATCGGGTTGTGACCTCCCAAACCAACGGGCGGTGGTGCTTTACACTTGGCGATAGCATGAAGCGGTGGACTCGCCCAAATTCCGAACGGGGGTGGCTCAATCGTTTCTTATTATTTGCAAAGCTGTCAACTGATAGCAACTCGATTGTAGTTTCCAATAAGGGGATTACTTTGCTAATTTATCAGCAGTAAAGTTATTAGAAGGTGCTTTCAGTTTTAATACATAGCTTTGAACATAGTTTAATCTCTTTCAATGGTTTTCTAAAAAATACTCATGTGAACAAATCAGTACCGCGGCACAATGACCGACGGCAAACGCGCGACTAACTAACAGGACGGTACTGGCTTGTCAACGCTACTGAGGCAGCGCCGTTCTGTTGCAGAGCATCAAAATTTTGCAGTAACAGGCACCGGAAGCTGCTGCCGCTGCGGCAGACGTGACTGGCGCGCCCGCGGGCCCGCCCGCATGCCGCCCCGCGCCCGCCGCGCGCTCCTCACCCCCGCCAGCTAGACAGCCTGGTCAGTGACACACACAACACACTTCTACAGGGTGTTAGGTAAATGGGTATATGAGCCGACACTAGCCCATGTTAACATGGTCATATAAATGGTATGGTGAAGTCAGAAATTTGATATAATTTTTTTTTTAATTTTCATACAAAATAAATTTTATAAAATCCGATTTGTATGAAAATTAAAATAATTAAAATGAAGATATCAATTTTCTGACTTCACCATACCATTTACATGACCATGTTAACATGGGCTAGTGTCGGCTCATATACCCATTTACCTAACACCCTGTATAGTCTGGTCCGTGAGCATGTAGAATTTTGTCCAATGACCCCAAGCTACCCATCCTTATCGCTCGCGCGTAATTATGTTGCTATCGCGCTCGCACACTCACTGCGGGTGCTAGTCGCACAGTCGCGACAGCAATATAATTACACGCGAGCGATAAGGATGGGTAGCTAGGGGTCATTGGACAAAATTTCAACGTGCTCACGGACCGGGCTTTACAAGAGTAAATACAAATGAGTAGGTTATCTTCATAGAATCGCACCGAGCGCGGTTTGTATGTGAGCGCGCTAATACGTATGCGGCGCGCACGCACACTCTGACAAAATTCGGTGCAACACCCTACTAATTCACGCTAAATTGTATTTACTCTGCTTCTACCCTACCCAGTATACCAGTTACCACGTCCCCACACCCACTACCCTCGACTCTCACAGCAGGTTAGAAGACAGCTATGGTCAAAATACTACTTATTCCTATGCAAAACAACCCAAATGGGTAGTTGACTTGACCAATATTTCCGAGACAACTACTTTTACCAAAACGCTTCAGTCAGTTACTTAACCCCGTTTTTAATTGGCTATTTATTACGATTTCTATCCTGCTTATGAGTTCTATAGTTTTAAGATATTCCAGCATTTCACAAACCATTCATGCAACATGTAGATTATTAGGACCAGATTTTATGTGCTGGAGAAAATGGTCTGAATTAACCAGCCTGTCTGCTTGTATCTGCTGTATTTGGAATAAGTAGAATGCACGTTCCCCTATTTATGATGGAACTGCTAGGAAAGAATACGAAGTATTGATAGATGAACAGCTAAGTTTAGCCGTGATTCGGACCTATTTTCACAGCAATCGGAGCAAAATTTATGTCTACATTGACATCTTCTAACCAATACATTATCTCTTCCAGAATCAGTGTCAAGAAAAAGCCAAATCAACAATCATCAGTCCCCATTAAGATTAGTTAGTTATTAGTAAGCCGCAGCCATGGGTTCCGTGAACGTGAACCGCAATGTGGCGGACGCGTTCTACCGCTACAAAATGCCGCGCATCTGCGCCAAGGTGGAAGGCAAGGGCAACGGCATCAAGACCGTCATCGTCAACATGCCCGAGGTGGCCAAGGCGCTCGGCCGCCCCGCCACTTGTAAGTACACAATTGTTTGTTAAATTGTTATTCATATCAACGACAGCCCGACGAATTGCCGGACTAATGTGGTACTGAGAACTGATGGCGCAGAAAAAATCTGAACTGGCGACCACGGACTGGAAAACGTAGCGTTAGGCCCAGAACAGACGGTGAAACGCAACTGCAACGAAACTGCAACTTTGTGATGATTCTGATGAATGAAACTGAAACTGAAAGTTTCAAACTGGTCGCGTCATGCGTGGTCTCTCAACGGCCGCCATGGCAGAAACTTAGATGCTCAAAAAAAACTCAAAAGTAACTAGCAGTTGCAGTTGCGTTTCACCGTCTGTTCTGGGCCTAAGCGTTCCTACTCAGTAGATCGACGATCTGTATACAGGTCATTATAAAATCCATGAGGCCTTTGACTAGCAATGTACAGCAAATCAAATCATTTATTCAGTGGCTAGACCCTTCCCAGGGCGCTTGTACACGTCCCAAGTATAGCTTGTCCTACCACCACTTAGGAAGTTCGGAACAGCATAATATGGGCTGGTGCTGAGAAGAAATGGACGGAAGAAACTTATGCCCGTTTTCACCATCAATCCCTAGTTTTTGAAGTACCTATAGTAACACATTTTTGTTTTCATAGGAGTCACTTAAAAATTAGGAATTGATAGTCCAAACGGGCATTAGTCACCTTAATTAAGTTAAAACAAACACACTATTATCTGATAGTATAAGCAATATCCTTCATTAGACCCACTAACTTTTAATGCCAATAATTTGATCCTTTTATGCAAGTTGCTAATTGTGTGAATGCTTGCAGACCCGACGAAGTACTTCGGCTGCGAGCTGGGCGCACAGACGCAGTTCGACTTCAAGAACGAACGGTTCATCGTCAACGGCAGCCACGACTCCGCCAAGCTGCAGGACCTGCTTGACGGGTGAGTTGCAGTTCACCTTTGACCTTTGTATTACTTTTCAGCAGCTTCTTTTTGAGGCAGACAAGTGGATACGACGTATTGAGGCAGTGGGTGGAGGCACGTTGCCGATCGAAGTGAGTCGACGCTACCCAGTACTTAAGAGCAATACTACCCATGGCACCAGACGCGCGTAGTCCCGTCTCAATTAAATTCACGGCTCCGATTGAAGCGCCTATATAAGCGCAAAACCTTATAAAATATGGCTCGGTCTTTTTCTTCTAAGTTGTTTCGTTCTTGGGTTCGTTCGTTCGTTGTGTTGTTCGCAGAGTGGTTGTGGTCACGTTAAGGCGTTCACGTCAATTGTAGAGACGGATACAGCTCTTCACACGTGCTCCTGCCATCTCTCCCTATTGGCAGACTGCCTGGTGTAATCAGATACGCGGTTTCTCGGCTCGGTTTGCGCCGACGATAGCCTCGTGGCGAGTCGTGCCTTAGCTTGAGACAGCGTTACCATTTGAGCAGCCACGGGTCGAGGCAGTTGCTTGACCTGAGGCTATATCTAGTGGAGATCATGCTTATGATAGTTCAAGTAAAGGACAATGACCAAAAATGTATGGAGTGTGGTCCAAATGTCCACCACTAAGGAGACCTATGTAGTAAAATAGTCTACTAAATACTGATTAATTATAACCAAACCGCAATCAAAAATATGCTGTCAGTAAAAAGTTATGACTGAATGAAGTCATGATTTTTACCTTTTCATCCGAAAAATGTTCTTGATGTCATTCTATCCATCGCACATTTTGGATTAATCTATGCATGTTATCATAACATTGTTATGTCATGTCGCTTAGTGTGCCGTGTTAGATTCTCGCTAAAAGAAAAAAAATAAGCTCAGAAGAAAGACAACAATATTGGAATTATGGTTGGGTGGTCGCTGCTCCGCCCCTATTAGTTGTAGGGTGATGTTATATAACCTAAAACCATCCTTGATAAATTGGCTATCCATAACAAAAATAATTTTTCAAATCGGACCAGTAGTTCCTGAGATAAGCGCGTAAACTACTTCAATTTTTCATACGGTCATAAATTTTTACTGACAGCTTATTTTTTTTCATCCCATATCGAAAGTTAATCTCTATTTAAATAAAAAAAAGTATTTAAGTATATTTATATCCGTTGTCTAGTACCCATAGTACAAGCTTTGCTTAGTTTGGGACTAGAAGCGCAGTGTAAAATGTCCAAGGATATTTATTATTATTTAATGGACTATAAGCCAATATAGGTCTCATTAGTGGTGGACATTTGGACCACTTTTGGTCATTGTCCTTTATACGATACTAACAACGTTTCAGATTCATCCGCAAGTTCGTGCTGTGCCCCGAGTGCGACAACCCCGAGACCGAGTTGATCGTGTCGACGAAGCGCAACACCATCTCGCAGGGCTGCAAGGCGTGCGGCTACCACGGCCAGCTCGACTTCAACCACAAGCTCAACACCTTCATCCTCAAGAACCCGCCTGCCAACGACCCTGCTGTGCAGGTGAGATAGCGGCAATAAAGTCCGGTTTTCACCAAAGCGGAGAGGAAAGGAAACGGCAGACGTGTTTTGATTATCTAAGCAGATTTTGTTATTTCCACATTTCAACTTTGGTGGAAATGCATGAAGCGGTGAGGAGATGTGTCAGGCAGGACCGGCGGCCTCGCGCGCCTTGTACTTCGCTGCTTTCTCCTCCCGGCTCGTACCCTCTAAAGCAGTGGTTCTTAACCTTTAAGTCATTAGGGACCATTTTACCAAATTTGTCTTGTCAGGGACCACCTCATTATCGGTCAAAACCAGTTTGTCTGCAAAAATCAGTTAAAAGTGGTTTTGACCAAGTTGTGCAAGTGCACTTCGTGGACCACTTGGAATGCTTCCAGGGACCACCAGTGGTCCGCGGACTAAGAACCACTGCTCTAAAGCGTCATACGATTCGTAGACACAGCTGACAGCGTTACGCACATCTCCTATTTTCCGCTTTGGAGGAAATATGGCTGCTTTAGGAAGAAAGCTATGATTTGTGCTCTCTGGTGCCACTGGCAAATGACCGCCTAACTTTAACCCCTTCCCTTTTAGCAAGAGCCGTATTCTGATGGGCTTGCTTCGTGATAATTGTGGGAGATAGTTGCAAGAAAAAGGTCTACAAAGTAAACTTTACGAACTAACGAAGAATTTGAATTTGCAGGGCTCTTCGCTGACGGAGGGCAACCGCGGCAAGCGCTCCAAGCGCTCGGGCCCCGGCGCCGGCGCCAACGGCAACCACGAGGAGGGACAGGAGCCCGCCAACGTGAGTATACTTTCCAACCTAGTGTATTTACTATTTATCATAGCTTTGTGTCTGTGAATTTCACAACCTATTGTATTGTTATTACTTCTCAATAACTTTTGTCTGTGGATTTTCATAAATTTGTTTCGTAACAAAGCTACGATTGGCCACGTAAAATAATGTTAGCAACTGAGGCAACAATAGTCAATTGAAATGATTCAGTTTAGTCGCTGCAGACTTCTATTAGTTCCGTCCTGTCTACCACTGACGCACATAATTCGCACCAGCCCTTTATTATTTTTTTGAAGTAAACAATGTTTTTGTCCGTCCAGCAGGAGGGCGAGACGGGCGCGGCGCCGGCGCCGGCCCCGCACCGCAGCAAGAAGGCGGCGGCGGCCGACGACGACGACGACAACTGGACCGTCGACGTCAGCGAGGCCGCAGTGCGCGCGCGCATGCAAGGTAACCAGCTTTATGGAGCACGCATTTCAATATCATCATTATTGTCATTTTTTGGCCCGTTTTCTTCATCAATCCCTAATTTTTAAGTGACCCCTATCATTTAAAAATTAAGGATCGATGGTGAAAACGGGCATTAGTCTCTACTGCAGGAGGACGACTCTTTCCTTTTCCCCTTTACTAGAGGATGTGGAGGATTTGGCCTACATAGCCTGAAAGCCCTAGGGAGTAGAGTTCCCATGCTGGCCAGACAGGTCGGAGTAGCATTACGACACCTACGAGAAGAGTGGGGGTGGTCCTGAGTGGGGGTGGTCCTATTCTATGCTACCTGAACCAATCGGTTAATTTTTATATTTATCGAACATAATAATATTTTTACCAAAACTAAGATGAGTTTTGTTCTATCTCTTTTTACGAATTTGAGTGGAGACGAGACGTGTGAATAACGAAAATAGCCTGTAATACCGACGACCTCATAAAGATAGCAGGAAGCTGGATGCAAGCTGCTACCAACCGGACGATATGGAAATTGAGGGAGGCCTATATTCAGCAGTGGACGATCTGTGGCTGAAATGGTAATGATGATGGCCCATAATATCGTTTCGTCTCCGCTTTTGACTCGTCAATATGACTTACTTGACTTAAGGTCCTATGTCCCCTAGATGGGGCAGAGGGCGTCCACAACAGGCCTCCATCTCGTTCGGTCATGAACTTCGCGCTTGATCTCGCTCCAAGTCTTACTGATCTTCTTCGCCTCCTCCGCTACAGTCGTCAATATAAGAGTCCACAAAATAATCGTTATCTAAACTTGTCCTACAGACCTGACGGAGGGCGCCAAGAGCATGACGGTGTCGGAGGACAGCGAGAAGAACGAGAAGCAACGCATGGACCTGTTCTACGCCTTCCTCAAGGCGCGCGCCGCCGCCGCCGACCTCGACGGCCCGCGCGCCGCCGGCGACGTGCTGCACGAGGCCGAGCGGTCAGTACGCTACCCTGTACCACGTTACTAGTATACGGAGAGCGGCTTCTAATGCTGGTTTTAGTTAGAGTCACGCTGACCGTCAGCGCTGACAGCCAAAATGTATGAAGCGTCGGCGCCGAGCGATCAGCGTCACTCAGGAATCTTCCCTTCAATAAGGCTTGATTTCCTTTTAGGCTGACATTGGTGACCGACGTCAGCGCCGCGCACGATTACACACTAGTTCTATGTAATCATCTACCGCTGACGACGGCGTTGCAGTGCGGTGCTGCATAGAACATTGTGTTTATTCGTACGCTCGACTGATGTACGCGACCGACGTCAGCGTAGGAGGAAATCGAGCGTTACATACATATTGATTTGTCAGCGCCGACGATCAGCGAGCGGTCAGCGCGATTCTAAAACCAGTTTAACGCATGCATGGATGCTGATAGTAATGGACGCCTAGAGTGCGCGTGCGAAGCGAACGTGCTGCACGAGGCCGAGCGGTCAGTAGCCGAGGACTTTACTTAAACGTACATAATGAAGGCTAACGTTTTAGTGCTCACTAGTTGACGCCACTGCAGAGTAAGGTCACTGTCACATACTAGTGACGCCCAACTGGTGAGCGCTGAAATGGTAGTAAAACGCTCGCACACTCACTGCGGGCGCCCGTCTCACAGTCGCGACAGCAATATAATTACGCGCGAGCGATAAGGATGGGTAGCTTGGGGTCATTTGATAAAATTCTACGTGCTCACGGACCAGGCATTAGCAAGTGACAGTGACCTTACTTCATAGTGGCGCCAACTGGTGTGCACTAAAACGACAGCCCTCATTATGTTCGTCTTGGTCCCCTAGGTAGACAAAAAGGAAAAGGTGACTTGCATTTCATCTAAAACTGTTTATCGATCCACAGCTTGGAGGTGAAGTCCAAGGCGCCGCTGGTGATCTTCGAGATCCTGGTGCGGCCCAACTCCATCGCCACGGACCTGAAGAAGCACCGCGCGCTCCTGCTGCGCTTCACGCGCGCCGACACTCGCGCACAGCGCGCCGCACTGCACGCGCTCACGGCGCTGTGCGACCACCATCCGACACTGCTGCCCAAGGTGCCCGCCGTGCTCAAGGTACGACGGAGTAACGCAGAGTGGAGGTTCTATACAAGTGGAGCTAGCTATAGGTCGACTCTATGCGCTTCACGCGCGCCGACACTCGCGCACAGCGCGCCGCACTGCACGCGCTCACGGCGCTGTGCGACCACCATCCGACACTGCTGCCCAAGGTGCCCGCCGTGCTCAAGGTACGACGGAGTAACGCAGAGTGGAGGTTCTATACAAGTGGAGCTAGCTATAGGTCGACTCTATGCGCTTCACGCGCGCCGACACTCGCGCACAGCGCGCCGCACTGCACGCGCTCACGGCGCTGTGCGACCACCATCCGACACTGCTGCCCAAGGTGCCCGCCGTGCTCAAGGTACGACGGAGTAACGCAGAGTGGAGGTTCTATACAAGTGGAGCTAGCTATAGGTCGACTCTATGCGCTTCACGCGCGCCGACACTCGCGCACAGCGCGCCGCACTGCACGCGCTCACGGCGCTGTGCGACCACCATCCGACACTGCTGCCCAAGGTGCCCGCCGTGCTCAAGGTACGACGGAGTAACGCAGAGTGGAGGTTCTATACAAGTGGAGCTAGCTATAGGTCGACTCTATGCGCTTCACGCGCGCCGACACTCGCGCACAGCGCGCCGCACTGCACGCGCTCACGGCGCTGTGCGACCACCATCCGACACTGCTGCCCAAGGTGCCCGCCGTGCTCAAGGTACGACGGAGTAACGCAGAGTGGAGGTTCTATACAAGTGGAGCTAAAGCCTGGTCCGTGAGCACGTAGAATCCCGTCCAATGACCCCGAGCTGCCCATCCTTGTCGCTCGCACGTAATTATGTTGCTGTCGCGCTCGCACACTCACTGCGGGCGCGCGTCGCACAGTCGCGACAGCAATATAATTACGCGCGAGCGATAAGGATGGGTAGCTTGGGGTCATTGGACGGGATTCTACGTGCTCACGGACCAGGCTTTAGCTATAGGTCGACTCTATGCGCTTCACGCGCGCCGACACTCGCGCACAGCGCGCCGCACTGCACGCGCTCACGGCGCTGTGCGACCACCATCCGACACTACTGCCCAAGGTGCCCGCCATGCTCAAGGTACGACGGAGTAACGCAGAGTGGAGGTTCTATACAAGTGGAGCTAAAGCCTGGTCCGTGAGCACGTAGAATCCTGTCCAATGACCCCGAGCTACCCATCCTTATCGCTCGCGCGTAATAGGGTATTTGACATCACCAATCAATTGACGTACTTTTTAAAACTGTCAAAACGACACTCTCCCATAGATTTTGTACGGCAATACTAGCATGTGACGTCACAATTTTATCAACTCAATGATAATACTTTTTTCAATTATAATGCAACCAAAAATCGTAATTTACAGGTAATTAAAAATAAATTAAGTTTTCATGACCAGAAAGAAGTGTCTTTTTAAAAAAGTTGTGCTTTAGAATTATTGAGAAATGGTGTCAAATACCCAATTATATTGCTGTCGCGACTGTGCGACGGGCGCCCGCAGTGAGTGTGCGAGCGCTACAACAACATAATTACGCGCGAGTGACAAGGATGGGCAGCTCGGGGTCATTGGACGTGATTCTACGTGCTTAGCTATAGGTCGACTCTATGCGCTTCACGCGCGCCGACACTCGCGCACAGCGCGCCGCACTGCACGCGCTCACGGCGCTGTGCGACCACCATCCGACACTGCTGCCCAAGGTGCCCGCCGTGCTCAAGGTACGAGACTATGTGAAGTTGCGAACTGTCGGAACGGAGCTAGGTGGCATCTCGGCTTCCTGGCTTTGTCCGTTGCCTGCGCGTTTTTAAACACCATGATGCACGAGCATACCATTTAAGGCCTACGATAAAACTTAGACCCGGTTTCCAACAAGGCGGAGCGTAGCGCAGACGAGAGGAGATGTGTTTATCAGTTTAAATTAAATTATTTCCACGTCTCCACTCCGCTCCACTTCGGTAAAAATAGATCAAGCGAAAAAGAGAGATGTGTTTTGAATAGTCAATCGGATTTCATTCTCTGTTTGGCTCTGCCTCGGGGGTACCGGGTCTTACGTGGGCACTCGCCGCAGGTGCGCCCGTTTATTTATTTAAACTTCTGCACATAGATACAAAGTGCTGTTGCTGCTGTGTTTATTGTCGCCTGCCTCTAGCCGCACTTATGGTAACATCACACTCATGCGCCCCAAATTGCTCTATTCTTACTTTTTTCGATACAGATTTTTAGTGGAGGCTCCTCAGATTTATATTTATATTTATGGAGCGATAATCTCAGACGTCGCAGTGCCGACGTCAACCCACTAAAAATTATTTAACGGCGCTATTCACTCGTACATTTGTCATTCCAGCTGCTTTACGACTACGACATCGTAGAAGAGAAGGCGGTGCTGGAGTGGGCGGCCAAGCCGTCGCGCAAGTACGCCAGCAAGGACACGCTGGCCGACGTGCGGCGCCGCGCGCAGCCCTTCCTCGACTGGCTCAAGGAGGCCGACGAGGAGGACAGCGACTCCTCCGACGAGGAGGACTTCGAGGTCGGTACATGCACCGCATTACGCGAAACAATAATGCCCGGTTTCCGCCATGGCGAATCGGAGATATGTTTTGAATAACCGATCAGGTTTTATTCTCCAACTAACGGCCGCCCGCGACTTCGTACGCGTCGTAGTGAGCACCTACGTTCTAAAAAGGAACCCCCATGAAAAATTTGAGACCCCTTAGCACTTATAGTTTCTGAGATTTCGTGATGAGTGACTGAGTCAGTCAATTTGTGACCTTTCGCTTTTATATGTAGATAGATAAATAATGAATGATATCTAATTGGTTATTCAAAACATTTCTCCGCTCCGCCTTACATTTCTTCGCTCCGCCTTGGTGGAAACCGGGCCTGAGGGCTATCGTATTTGGCCTCACTAGATGACGCCACTGTACGTCATTTGCAAGTGCCGCCATCTGGTGAGCGCTGCTGCAGTGGCAGGAGGTTATCACATTTGCACTCACTAAGATGGCGTCACTATAGTGTAACGTCCTGTCATTCGCCAGTGGTGCCAACTGTGAAATATGATAACGATATTCGTTCTCTGCCCTAAGCAAGATTTGAGCACTTTTGTTTAAATTTTGAAAACCTGCCCTCGTCCATCGTCCGATGAAGCTCCAGCGAGATATCTACGCTTATCAACTTATACCAGTGCGAAAACAAACCAAATGAATAATTTGTTTGTGCCATTGTGTCAGATCCAGTACGACGACCGCGCGAAGGCCACGCCCATCAAGGCCGTGGCGTCCCCCGCGCGCCCCGCGCCCGCCCAAGACGACGACGACGGCAACGACGTCGACATCGACGCCATCTAACCGCACCACACCACACTACACCACCCACACCACACCACTATACAACTAAAGCCTGGTCCGTGAGCACGTACAATCCCGTCCAATGACCCCGAGCTGCCCATCCTTGTCGCTCGCACGTAATAGGGATGTTTCCTGGGTAAAAAAGCAAGAGTTTTAATTAGTCCGTCAGTTAGCTTATCAAAAACTACTCGACACGTATTTTTCACTTTTAAATCTAATGAAAATGTAAAGAGATAAACCGTGCCAAAGTTCTAAAGAAAAGGCCCGTGACGTCAGTGAGTGCGTAAAAGTGTAGCACTTTATGACGTCGCGCGGAACTTCAACGCACTATAACTTTGTAATTATTTGTTTGATTGACAATTAAAAATATACGTGTCCAATATTTTTTTGTATTAAAATTGAAATTTTTTTTTGGGAAACTAGCCTATTATATTGCTGTCGCGCTCGCACACTCACTGCGGGCGCGCGTCGCACAGTCGCGACAGCAATATAATTACGCGCGAGCGATAAGGATGGGTAACTTGGGGTCATTGGACGGGATTCTACGTGCTCACGGACCAGGCTTTACATATGCGCGCGCGCCGCTGCCTGAAACAGTGACGAGATCGACCCCTTACAAGATCTTTGTTTATGGTTCTCGTAAACGCAATGACATCCACCATAATCCATTGTTGGACTGATTCCAAACCTAGCTAGTGTCATTTTATCGAGATAGGATAGATTGGTTGTCAATGTTACAGGGAATGGCCGCGTGCAACTAAATGAAATAGAAAATTACTTACCACAGTTTCTCGTCTAATAATCAAATCTGCAATGTGTTAAAAACGCTGTCATTGGTCTATTCATCCATGCCGCTCTCTCGTTCGCACGTTAAAGATTGTAATAGTGTGTGAGCGAGAGGGTCACGGTTGTGCTCGTCTAGCTTGTATTAATAACTATAGACTATTAATTATGCACACTAATCACAGTTGATTTTGAGCAATTTGATCATTAGCTCGGAAACCTAACAGGTATAATTTCAGTTTGTTTAAGTGGGGCTGTATAGTCATATATCAGCTTCGAAACGTCTAGTTTTTCTAAAAGATACACAGTACAGTACTTTCGATTAAACTGTGCTAATCAAAAATGCATTTATTTTTATATTTTCCTCTAACTGCCTCTTATCCTCTAATATTCCTTAAATTTTAAATATCTTTATCTCAAAAGCACAGTTTAACCGACAGTATTCACACACCATGATCCAAATAGTTGTTACATGGGGTAAAATTCAACAAACGATATTAAACATTCTCCAAAGTTTTTAAACATTGCAATCGCACGGAACTGTTCCAAAATTTCAGAAATATTCTTTCAGTATCGCCAACATTCCCGCGAAACATTTTAACTTTGGAGGTGTAAACATTCTGTTTGTGACAAAAAAATTTCCTGCTATGTAACAACTAGGTAATTGTAACAGATGTGTAGTCATGTATACCCTCACTGAAGCGATCCACTCGGCGCGTAACGTGATAATATTAGTACAGATACAAACACAAATTCTATCCCGTCGCAATCGTAATTTAATATTAGCCCCAAAATACAGCACGCTTCAATCATCACGTTCGTTCGCGTGGATCGCGTTGCTTGTAAAGTCGAGCGCAAAAACTTGTCAACATTTTGATGTCGCAGTTGTTCTTGCACCCGACTGTCGCTGTGTCCCCTGCCGACTGTATGTAGCGTACACCGTACTTTGGGCTGTCGAACGAGTGTCATATTAATTAATCGTATACAGGCGTAGCTATACTCGAGTCATAGGATTAGTCGCGTTTTCGAACGGGGAGAATCGGTCGACTTGTCGGTAATTTGAATCTTAAACTTTTTGCTATTACATTTGTATCTTCCTAAATTGATTTACTGATTCAGTTGACGACCCTGCGAGGGCCGCTGGCCGCGACCACCTCGAGTCAGCCTCAACTTCGGCTGTTCATGGGACGCTATTTTTACTTTTTCCATCAATATTTTGTTCCTATATCTGTATAGATTTTTAATTATATTTTAAATCATATTTCCGATATTTATTTTGGGACGGTTTACACGCACTGGAGCTGCGAGCGAGACGAGCCCCGGATCTCACTGATTCTTTCCGATCATGAATATTGTAATAGTCACAAATGTATAAAGTATGGCTTCACGTGACTCGGTACGGATGCTGCGATCGGATGCCGTAATCTTAAGGCGATGCGTTTGTATGAAAATATTTAATATGAAATAGAAATTGATTTAGTATTTAAAATCGTGAAATCGGCGGAGTTGTGCGGAGGCGGTTCGGGAAGGTTCTCATCGCGTCACACAAGAGTAAGTGACAACAACGGGAAATATTCATTTTTGGTTATACTTATCTGAAAATGTTACTATAGTGTCATACCAATATGAAAGTATGCAGTGAGAAAATACACAGTTCAAATTAAGTATCTTGAGTAACATAGTTACATATTGGTGACACCGATGAATGTAGCATGTTCAGTGTGTAACTCGTGAATACTTCCCGCTGTGTAACACTGGCATTAGTGGATCTAGAGGCCGCAGCCGCCGCCGCGCGCGCCGAAGTAATGTAACGTAGGTTAGTTTATTTGCTACGGAGCCCAGTTGCGCGCAGGTTATATTATTTGTAATATATAGGGTATGCCGCCGGCGACGCCGCGGGACAAGTTTCCTCTTACTATTAACTATTATTAAAATAGAATATTTTGAAATTGCCACCTGACAATTTATTAGATTTGTTTTGTATTCAATACATTTGGATTCTGAAAATTTATGGGTTTTATTTCAACAGCAAAATAACACTTCTCGATCACGAGTCTACTTTATCCCTTACATTCGAAATAAATATTTATAGTTATTTTGTCTTTGACAAATAAATTTCCATAAAATATACACGACTCAATAATATTAATTTACATAAACTTTCACGATATAAAACAAGGCACATATTTTGAACACTAAAGTATTTCTCAATTTAGAAGTTACAATCTCATATTAGTTAATAACATAATAATACATAACTTAGTAATAATAGATAATAAAAGTAATTACATGTGGTAACTTACAAAAATTACATTAGGTACTTAGTTAAATAAATGCAATAGCGCTACATACAACTAGTAGTAGGTTTACAAGTATTATAGTGTGTGCGAGACGCGAAAAAGCGATTGCAGGCACGAACAATGGTGTACGTTACTCCAGCTGGAAAGTACAGCCTTGGCCAAAAGTATTGAGCACCCCCTAAATACTGCTTATACGTGATAACTATAAAAGATACTCAAAGATATTTGATAAAAACCTTTCTTTGACAGGTTTTGAAACATAAACTCACGGCACAACGTGCAATAAAACACGTTTCGAGATGTTTAGCTATGACACTGTAGTATTGTTAGTCTTTGAAAAATCATAAAAAATCTTCTTCCGACCTCGCTGCTGAGTTATCAGCTGAAATTAATACGCCGATTTCTGCAAGAACAACTCGCAGAAGACTCCAAGAAGCTGGGCTTAAGGGCTATACAGCCAGAAAGAAGCCATGGCTTTCTGTAAAGACCAAAACAGCTCGTTACGAGTAGGCTTTAAAATACCAAACTTTTACCGAGGAAGATTAGAAAAATATTGTGTGGTCAGATGAATCAAACTTTGAGGTAAGTTAGCCAATATCATGTATTAACAATACGCGACAATAATATTATAAAACTATATTTGTAAAAATAAATATTGGACCGAAAAACACTTAACAAAATTTCGTTACTTTACGATTGTTGGCACACCTGGTGTGACATTTGTCCGTCGTCGAGTAGACGAAGAATTTACCCCGGAGTGTAAGGTACCTACCGTCAAACATGGCGGCGGCAGTGTGATGGTCTGGGGGACATGTTTATGAAAATATTTATAAATATCAAGTAATCGAGCTTTCTTCAAAATCCGAAAAAATCGTGTAGCGTCTGATTAACAAAACATACAAGCTCACTGAAAACTGTATTCGATCCTTCTTAATACGTATTATAACCATAAAAAGTTTCAAAAACACACATTCATGGGTCATTGAATAATATCACTAAAAGTAAATACGACGGTTCTATAACTTTGACGTCAAAATACAAGGAATCAGCTACACCAAGATGAGCGGATGTCAACCTTATAATTAGAGCGTTTATTAAACAAATATAAAATATAATATTCAGCTTTAAATGTATCGCTTAAAAAAAGATATGCACAAAAATATCAAATTGTAAATAACGGCTGGTTACCCGACCAAATTTGAATGCATACAAAAAAGCGACGGATTCATACACATCGACGACCTTTCACATTGAGTGTATTAAACTTAAGCTGTTGTTAGTACAGTCGTGTTCAAATGTTTTGGCAATTATTTTAAATAGTCGTATTTTAGATTGTTAATGCAAAATAAATACAATTTGTAACCACATCAAATGAAAAACCCTTATTATTTCTCTTCTTAAGAATCTCTTATCAATTTATCTTAAAAAGTATTTAATCATGACGTAAAATCACAGATCAATATCGTTCGAAAGACACTACTGGACAAAAGCCTCCCTCAAGGATTGCCACAAACACCAGTCCTGCGCCACTCGCATCCAGCTACCTTCCGCGACCTTCACCAGATCGTCGGTCCACAATGTTAACGGTAGAACCTTTGTAGTAGAACGGGTGAAGCCGTGGGCAGAAGCTAGTATTAATATACATGTTTCACGTCAAGACTTAATTGTAAACTATAATATAGGCGCACTTACACATTACTCATGCCAGAGATAAGAAAAAAAAGTTTGTCATTAAAATGTTCGTTCGTTCGTTCGTTCGTTCGTTTCAGCCAAATGACGTCCACTGCTGGACAAAGGCCTCCTCCGAGGTTTTCCATAATGCACGGTCCTGCGCTGCCCGCATCCAGGCTCTTCCCGCGACCTTTACCAGATCGTCGGTCCACCTAGTAGGAGGCCTGCCCACGCTACGTCTTCCAGCCCGTGGTCGCCACTCGAGAACTTTTCTGCCCCAACGGCCATCGTCTCTACGAGCTATGTGCCCCGCCCACTGCCACTTGATTTTAGCAATTCTGCAAGCTATGTCGGTCACTTTGGTTCTCCTGCGGATCTCCTCATTTCTGATTCGATCACGCAGGAAAACTCCAAGCATGGCCCGCTAAATCGCCCTTTGGGTGACCTTGAGCCTTCTTATGAGGCCCATAGTAAGCGACCACGTTTCAGAGCCATATATCATCACTGGCAACACACACTGCTCGAAGACTTTTGTCTTGTCATTAAAATATATTTTTTACTTGTTATTTTGTACTTCAGTGTACTTCGGTGCAACAAATTTCTACCGGTTAGTGAGTATAGTTAAGAAGGTCATCGATATGTATGAATCCGTCGCTTTTTTGTATGCATTCGAATTTGGTCGGGTAACCAGCCGTTATTTACAATTTGATATAATATTGATATATTTTTGTGCATATCTTTTTTTAAGCGATACATTTAAAACTGAATATTATATTTTATATTTGTTTAATAAACGCTCTAATTATAAGGTTGACATCCGCTCATCTTGGTGTAGCTGATTCCTTGTATTTTGACGTCAAAGTTATAGCACCGTCGTATTTACTTTTAGTGATATTATTCAATGACCCATGAATGTGTGTTTTTGAAACTTTTTATGGTTATAATACGTATTAAGAAGGATCGAATACAGTTTTCAGTGAGCTTGTATGTTTTGTTATTCAGGCGCTACACGATTTTTTCGGATTTTGAAGAAAGCTCGATTACTTGATATTTATAAATATTTTCATAAACATGTTTCTTTCACATATACGCACAAATCAAGAGCTACTCGTGTGTGTTTATTCTATAGGCGCACATATAACGGTTATTGAGATAGAGCATTCTGCAAAACGTTACCCTGGCAGGAAATGCAATATCTCGAAAACCTGAAGACGCACAAATCACATTTTCAGCTCACATAATAGAACAAATATAAGCTATCTGCTCGTACACAGTTTTTCTCTTTCCGATCATTCNGTTTTTGAAACTTTCTATGGTTATAATACGTATTAAGAAGGATCGAATACAGTTTTCAGTGAGCTTGTATGTTTTGTTATTCAGGCGCTACACGATTTTTTCGGATTTTGAAGAAAGCTCGATTACTTGATATTTATAAATATTTTCATAAACATGTTTCTTTCACATATACGCACAAATCAAGAGCTACTCGTGTGTGTTTATTCTATAGGCGCACATATAACGGTTATTGAGATAGAGCATTCTGCAAAACGTTACCCTGGCAGGAAATGCAATATCTCGAAAACCTGAAGACGCACAAATCACATTTTCAGCTCACATAATAGAACAAATATAAGCTATCTGCTCGTACACAGTTTTTCTCTTTCCGATCATTCGTTTAGAATTTTCCTGCTAGAACAACGTTACTCCAGCAGGAATCGTTTTTTTCGTTTTGTACCAAAACGACAGCACGCACTAATCTCTAATTCGGCGCACATTTACACCATGTTGGGAACTAATTATACGTTCTACTCATATCACTCTAGAAGCTACTTTCCAGCTGGAGTAACGTACACCGAACAATGAGCGTTTACAGAAAATAGCAGATCTCCCAATGCACTAGCAATACACTGTGGCACTCTTTGCAACAATTGACAAAAGTAAAAAAGTGAATACCAAAAGAAAACAAGTGTGAAAAAAGAATATAGGTAGGTATTTTGTAAAACTGGTAAACGCTCGATGCTTTAGTCTAATGTTTAGTCTAGATTTTTGTTTTTATTAGGCATTTTTAAATAATCTCGATTTCAAAAGCTAACCTATCCGTGCATTACTTGCGCTTATTGACTAGTCGCAAACATTCGACACTTTAAACTTAAATACCACCATCATTAAGTGGAGATAAGATTGAGCTGCTTAACTTATAATAAGTCAAATAAAAAAAATGTACAAACTGTACACTAGCTTGACATTCTTAAAATCAGATCAATATTTAGTCAGACCTATTGAAAAATGCTAATATTTCATCTATTGTACTACTTTCTGGCAATAGGTACATCTGCCAGTAAATTATTTTTTGTCATTAATGTTTGATTAATCCTCCTTTGAGATTAAGGGCTGGATTCTAAAATGGTATCTACTGTAGGAAGTGGAGAATATTAAGAATGCGAACCAAAACCAAACGGTGAGTTTGGGGTTCGGGACTTGAACAAATACTCGAGGTTTGGGTTCACATACCTGCTGCAATGATCCCAGAAAATTGTTGACAGTGAGTCTTTCTTTTTGTCAACTTGTAGAATTTAAAAGACTATTTTTTACCGTAAATAGTATTTTCCAAATAGTAAAAATACTATCGAGAAACTGAGAAAGTATTTTAAAACGGGCCTAATTGTATAAAATGAGATCCGAAACATTATAAATTGCACTATTTTCTGCAGCACCATGTCTTTGGTAAAGACTGTTCTATATCAGTATTAGTACATACATAGGTGTTTTAATGATAAAATCCCTAATGAGAAGATTGTTGAACAGTTGGACTGTACAGCAGCGTCAAAAGTAGCCTAAAGACACGTCTTCTTTACTATTTGAATAAGGTTGTGTTGTCAACTTTAAGCCACCATCAATCCCTATTTTTAAGTGACCCCTATGATAACACCTAACAGGAATTTTGTTTTCATAGGGGTCACTTAAAAATACAGATTACTTAACACTAGAGTGCTCGCGCGGGTGACATATGTCACCCAGGGTGTAAAATTTGTAAATATTTTTTCAAGGTATCGAGCTACAGTGCTGCCTTCTTAGGTATTCCTCGAGCATGTATTGTCGCACATGATAGTAGGTAGTAACGCCATCTTGCTAGACGCATCAACGTGAGTGCAGAAAACATTTAAAGTGTTTGGGTGACGCATGTCCCCCGCGCGAGCACTCGAGGAATTGTTTGAGAACTTATCATCGCGGTTTAAAATCAAGTTTACTTTCATGTAAGTTCAAAGTTATACTTTTTAACCATTTTTTAAACTTTTACAATAATTATATTGCTTTATAAGCATAAACTGATGCAAGAAAGTAGTTGTTTTAGATTGTAAGTAATGTCGTAATAATACACCTAGGTCTATAAAATTAAAAACCAGGATTCTTCTGGGGTTGCGAGAACACCAACTAGCACAGAACTTGCCAGTACTGTGGCAAATGACGATGTGTTTATCGCACAAGAGCAAGAAATCGAAGCACTCTTAAGCAAATGTAACAAGTGGAATAGGCGTTTTTGTCCAGATCATTAAATCAAATCGTGCCCGAGTAGTGATCAAAATATCACAGAATAAGATCAATCTATTCATTAACTTTCTAATTAGGTGATATTTTTGCCAAAATAATGGGTCCAAGGACTATTTAAACGACTTTGGTCTCGTCGACTCTAAAATATTTGGAAAATATTGAAGTATATATTTTGGTGTATAATACGAGTTCACGAAAGAATTACTCACTTTTTTTTAATTATTTACTAAGAAATATTGTTTATGTTTAATATTATAAATTGTTTTACTTGTATTAATTAAGATTAGAAAAAATAAACCCATATCATAATGGGTGACACATGTGACCCGCGCGAGCACTCTAGGAGTATTTAGGGGCGCGAGCACTCTAGTGTTAATGGTGAAAACGGGCATTAGGGTATCCCGAACTATTTTTAGGAGTTTGTGAGCTATCAGCCGGCCTGCTGAATAGGGATGGGCGCGGGATTGGTGCTGACGGGCCCGACGCTGAAGGAGGCGATGAAGACGTTGACGATGGTGATGAGGAAGATGCCGAGCACCGTCATGTTGTTGATCTTGTCCGCCTTGCAGATGTCTTTCTCTTCCTTCACGTTGTACCGGCTGTTCATTATCAGCCCAACGCCCACTGCCACCTGGAAATTAATTTATTAAATATGAAGACCTATTACACTTATTTATTCAATTCAACACTGACTCCTATAGAAAAATAAGGAGCAATCAAACTTCGCTGAATTGTTGCTATAAAACTATCATCAGGCGAAAACTACACCGGTCTCATGTAGAAAAATGAGGAGCAAAGTAGCAAGTTAGATACATTTTTAGTTTAGGCGCAGATTTATTTGTGTTTTGTAATATTTATTGTATTTATAAACGCAAATCAATACTATTGAATTTTCTATGCTTTTGGTTCACAAAAATTTAAAATTATATAAAATTTTAAACTTTCGCGTTCAATTTCGACTAAAATAGAAAGACACGGGTCTAACGCGACATTTATGAATGAGTTACGTTATAGTACGCACGGCTTGACGTTTCGGCTGCGATGCTGCAGCTATGGTCACAAGCAGACTGGCGGCTCGCGGCGTCGTCGGTTCGAACGGGCTTGAAAATTTTCGTTAAGACCCGTCTTTCTATTTTAATAATAAAATCAGCTCTATGCACAGTGATTCGAGTAGAACAAGCTAGCTGGACAATATTATTTTTTTACTTTAATGTGTTTAATACACGCATTACTTACTTTTTTGTGCAATTTAAGATTAATTAGGCTTGTTATTTTAATAATTATTATGGTTTGAAAAAAAAAATTTTTTTTGGTAATAAAATATTTATTTCCTAAAATCAAGAGAAACAGACTAAAAAGGAAAGAAGAAACTAACTTTACAGTATAATATTAATTGTTCTTATGATGTATTAGGTGTTAAAGTATGAAATTCCCGTTTTTTATGGAGAATTTAATGAAAATAAATTTTTCGATATAAACATTTTTGCGATTTATATGGAACAAAGAATCTCAGTTTTTTTTAATTTAGTGGGTAGACTGGGACAACATTAATGACTTGCCAAGTTGCTGTGGCCAGCAGACATTTGCGCTGCAGCTTCAGCAGCCAATATCAGTTCTCAAGTACTTCTTGAGGAAATGATGTCTAAAAGTCTTCTTCTTTTCGTCTTTTTGCTGGACTCGTCGAACTCCTTGAGTGGTCGTCCAAGTGTAGAATCTTTCGACGTGGAAGACTGAAATTTATGAACAGAAACATGTAACACTATGGCTCCGGGAATCCACTCAGTTGGGTTTTTCATGAAGCGTTCCCTGTTTTGCCGTATTTCGTCCATTGAAATGAAATTGAAATGCGACTGATGCTATTCTTCAACTCTCTTAGCAAATTTTCGTGATCCCAATACATCACATTTTGAGAATATAAATTAAAAATCATGCTATTCTGGTCACTTTTTCAATGTTTTAATCATTAATCAAAAAACTTGATTTTTTATTAATCTGAAAAAATAAAATTGTTGTGCAAAAGTGTGCAAACTGAAACTGGTATATTTGAATACTAGAGGGTTACAGCTACAATATATATAAATTCCAGACTGGGGTCAAGTGGGGGCATACAACTTCTAGTCTTCCAAACATAAAATTTTGAGAAAAATATAAAGGTCAACATTTCGCCATACTTTTTAATACTATGTGCATTATTATGCACCTTATTGTACAGAAAATAAAAAGTACTTACCCTTATCTTCAAAATCCATCACACAAATATTTGGTCACCATAGTAAAAAATAATGTCAGGTGTTGTCGAAAGTCGAGCAAAATTAGGAATTAAAAATGACACTATCCTCATATCCTCACTTACCATGTTAATTACTCACGACTAGGTAATTAACAAAGTAAAAAAATGTGGAATCCTTAATGTCTGGGATGTTGTTTAACGTTTTTTATAAACGATAATCAGAAATTCAACAATGACTTTTGTCCAGCTAGCTTGTTCTACACGAATCACAGTGCTATGGTATGATACCTAAAGCAAAAAAACCTGTTAACCGCGTAGAAACGTAAAGCGGTAGGACACTTTTTCTTTACGATGAACCTAGACTGTAAACTGTTTGTGTATACCTACCTATTACAAATAAATAAATAAATGATGCTGACCTGAAGGATGATGCTGAGCGAGATGAAGACGACGCTGAGGTAGTAGTATGGATGGCCGGCGGAGGAGGACTCGATGACGTAGCGCAGCTGGTTGGCGTTGGCCGACAGCAGCGCCAGGTCCATCATGCCTTGCGCCAGGTTCTTCTTCTGCTGGTACGTGTTCACGTCCGGGATCGACTGCCAGAAAGATATTGGTTAATACGATATTTCGATTGCGAAAGTAGGCAACACCATGGGAATCACTGAAGACCCCCAGGTAGCCTTTCGAACTAAGCGTCACAGACGCAGCGTCTTTAGCTTCGGTCTTGTGCCACCAACGTCGCGTCACTAACTCGCTTCGAAAGGCTACCTTTAAGACCAAAGCTAAAGACGCTGCGTCTGTGACGCTTAGTTCGAAAGGCTATCTTTAGATTTAAGTGACGAAATATGAAAATGAAATGAAAATGATAATGATTAATGTCAAATTAACTAATACAATAAAAAAACTATCTAACGCTATGAATGATGTAAAGAGTATCCCGTTGCCACAGCCGTTTTACAAATATTTCTTCGTTTGGATTGGATACCAACTTGGTAATACGAATGCAAATTGGTGCTAAAATTTATAAGATCAACGGAATTTTAATTTTACTTACGCCATTGATAAATTATTGCTTAGCGTTCTATGGAGAAGGATGCTCGGTGTTTCTATACGAGATCGAATCAGACATGAGGAGATTCATAAACGAGCTGAAGTTGCTGACGTAGCCCGACGGATGAGTCTAAGTTGAAGTGGTAGTGGGCAGGGCACATAGTAGATACGCAGAACTGACGGCCGATGAGGCAGCAAGGTTCTGGAAATTCTGGAATGGAGAAAACGTACCGGAATGCGCTGCGCAGGACGCGGTTGTCGCAGCCTCATATATTGGAAAGGCGACTTCATTAAAGAAAGGCGCTGGATGCCGGCCGAAAGCAAACGGTTTATCTGGAAATGATGATGATGATAATGAAAATGTTGATGAAGGTGATAAGTAATTATAATGTATCGCTTACGCCGGGTATGGGTGAAATAGGCCGGTCGTCTGCGCCGAATCTGTTGCCGATGTCTGAAAATAACAAATTCTATTGTAAGTAAGGACACTCCCTAATTGAATCCCCAATAATTTCGCCGCTGTGACATTGTGAGATAATGCTTCAAAATTTCTTCTAACATGCACAATGCACTCGGTGGGATTTGAACCCGCGACTACGAGTATAAACTAAGGTTGTGTATAAATATCCTGGCTACTTGCTGAAGTACTTCAAAGCGATCGGAAATTCTGATCAATACGAAATGTTACATTGTCTACCTAATTATAAGTAAAGTAATTAGGTAAAGTAGGTAATACATTCATAATGCGACTTTTATTAAAATAGTTACTAACTAAACTTCACCTTGCTTGATATTAAAATATCATGCAACATGCATCCCTTCATGCAAGAAAGCTAATTTACAAAAGGTATTTTGCTAACGTCATTAGGTTTGTCTAGGCGTAGTAAAGTGGATAAAATATTCACAAGTCTTAGTTTATTCATCAGACGACCACACCGGGTACTTATTAATTATGTATACTAAAGTCATTCATATTCATGCATAGCAGTATACGATACACGACAGTACATCAGACGATATTTTAAATAGAATTTTGCCAATATGAGCGCATTCATCAACCGATGCCGTAGACGTTTAACGGCAATAATGATTCTTGCACAATTTTAGAAAAAGAATTACTGATTATCATCAGGTCATTTCTCCATGATTGAGGAGCACGATCCTAATTTAATAAAGGCAAATGGAGGATTTGGACTACATACACTCTCCAATTCTTCATGCTGGCCAGAAAGATTATACAGTGTGAGTCACGATAAAGTGTAGGTACATATGAAATTAGGTGAAACTAGATCTATTTTTATCGACAAGAAAGAGGTCAAAAATTTTTGACTCACACTGTAGAATCGAATTCGAATTGTAAGTTATCTACAGGCACTGAAGTTGTTACATAAGTAACTTCACTGTGCAAGAAGTCTAGATGCAACCATTTACTTTCATGNGAGGCTTCGATCTTATGAACAGAGACTTAATGAGTTTAACATAACTCCACTTCACCTCCGACGCGCCGAGATGGACCTAGTGAATCTGCACAAAATAGTGCACTCGGAACTTGACAGCCCTGAGATCTTAGAACTGCTACAATTTACCATTAAACACAATCCCCGTAGACCAATGACAAAAATATTTGACATACCCCTTTTTCACAACAATATATCACACAACCAGCCTCTGGCTAGATTATGTCGACTCTACGAGGATTACAGTCCTCGCTTCTCTGACCTTGACATCTTCAACTCTAACCCGCGTCGTTTCAGAATGGCTTTAAAAGACATCCTCAAGAATATCCCTAGACCCTAATTTTATTATTTTTACCCTAATTTAATTATTAATATCAATAGTATAAGTAATTTTTACTAACCCTATAAGTCTGCTTCTCATTACTAGCATGCCGTGGAAACACGTTATAGGATTACTATCTTGCTTAACACCATTGTAAATTAAGTATTAATCTAACCAAATGATGTAATCTGTTGTGTTTTCCAATAAAATAAAATAAAATAAAATAAAATCGTCTATGTAAGGAAGTACCTAAGTACTTAGTCAAAGTACAATTTCTTCGCGAAAGTTCAGTAACATAATATGCAATATGGCCCGTAACCTAGATTCCAGAAATACGTCCATGACATCGGTTATTAGCGCGGAATTACGAACTAAAATGTGTAATACAAACACTTGAGTCGAGGAACGGCATGCATGCAAATTTCGATTGACGTTAAATCCGAATTGAATAGCAGTTAAAATCGGGTTGGATTTAACTATGAGTCTTTGTTTCTTAAATTAACAATGACTGATGTATGATGCATCCAAAATCTTCATTTCATCTCTAGTACAAATCACATCATCGCGTTCAATACGCGTTTTGTCTTTTAATTATTTTTAAAGACTCTTAGTTAAACCAGCGGGCTTACTCCGTAACGCGTATTCCGTAATTTCGGCTCTATCCGTCACTCACGCTCATAGCATTTCAGTATGGGCAAAGTTATAGTTGCCATTCGCAGTTTTCGGATTTGCGGGAAAAAATGGCAACATCCTAAGAACGTCACAGTAAAGAAAAGTTTGGGAAGCCCTGTAGGGTCTAGAGTCTAGATAAGTGGCACTTTTTTATCGAATCGCAAATTTGACCGCCTTTTCTTTTCGCCTTTCGACCGTCTTTCGACATCATAACTGTTTTGTTTTGCCACTTGTCTAGGAGGGCTGATCTAGTAGGTAAAATGCTTTTATGACCTTTCGGAAATTCTAAACAAATGCATTAATCCTAGAGATTGCGAGAGACTGATAGAGCCGATCACACGGACGCGACGGAGTGTCCCTGCCCAGCGGCGGCTCCTCTAACGCAGTGCGTCCATTCACCATAGGGGTAGTCGGTCTCGTCGGGGGGCCACTCCCATTTACCGTCGGATGCGCCCACGCCGTCTTCTGACGTCGCGTGCGGGTCGTCCGGGTCTAGCTCTTTTTTGTCCACTGAAACAAAAATAATCGAATCCTGAAAAAGATTGCAAAACATCACCTGTCTTTCCACACATCATTTGCTTATTGTCTAAAACGCCAGTAAATGGTAGTGACCACTGCAATAAGCATGCTCTACCTTAAACCCTATCATCACACATCTGTCGTGTGATTGAGGTCCAATCACAGAATAGATTAGGTCTACTGGTCTCAACTAAAATCGAGTCTGCACTCGATTTTAGTTGAGAGAGAGATGACTTGTAGGCAGTACAGTACATACTTTAAATATTTAGACTGGATTTACCTATACTATACACAGACAGATACTTGCTTGAGTAAGATATTATGCTGCAGTCTTACTGCAGTTAAGAATCCTAGAATTAAGGTAGGCAAACTAGTGGTCTAGGTCTAGGTAGACATTTTAACTACTTTTGGAAGAACACTTGGCAGGACATGACGATCTGTTTAATGACAGATTGATTTCTTATAAATATCTAAGCGACTCATGTCTGCCGGTCTGTGTAAGAACAAGGTTAGCAATCTTATGTCATAACTCACAGGTCACAGCTAAGTATGAATGTTTATGTAGAAATCTCAGCAATTTGATATTACTTATTAGTGCCTTTGTAATTCCTCAGAGTTCAATAACCAGTGCAAATAATAAGTTATCACATTTATGTTTAATTATTCAGATTAATTATGAACAATTTATACTTAAGTGTTTCTTGTCGAAGATTAAGGTTCTTAGTAATGACGTTATATTTTGTTCAGACACAACCTATCTTTGTTTGTATGAGTGTAACCCGCTTATCGACCGAGTTGCTTGAAATAACACAAAAAACGTCCTCGAGTGTAAAAACAACGTGACTGAGAAGTTTGCGTTAGGTTTAGTATACCTAGATCTATCACTTTTTGCATGTGTTTGACATCAACCATTACAAGTATTGGTGGCTATTTTTAACAGATAGTAGGTAAGTAGTTATTTACTTCGCGGTCCAGTTATCAGCCGTTACGACCACCGCCACATCCTTTGTAGAGTTTGATAGCGTGCCCTCAATTCGGAGTTCTAATGAGATCTCAAAACGTTCTATAAATTGCTTTCCGGAAATGTTTTTCAAGATCAATCAAATAATAATAAATAGATTTTTGAGAGATTTTACGAATATTATCAGTCTGTGTTTACAGTATCTACAGACATATTGGTAGTTAAAATCAAGATTTTTTTAGACAAATAGGTAGGATCTAGGTTTGCACCTGCTAGTTAATTCGACGATAAAACGTCTAACAACACCTTGCATGTCACAATCTATCCTACCTACCAACAAGTAAAAGTGCTAATCTGAAACATTACTGAAACTCTACTTACTACTTACCTACATACATTGAGTTCCGCGATCCCATTATTTTTTCCCCTATTTAAAAAAAACTTCTGTAAAGTTTACTTGTTAAATAAATTAACCGGCAGGCAAATTCAAATTTTCTTACAGTTAATAGGTATTTACAGAAACATCCGGTTTAGTCTTTCAATATGAAAAGTACCTACTACCTACTTTCACACAGTCCCAGTATGTTTTAATTATTTCCGAGACAACGCGAATGTTATACGTTTTTTGGGGTCAGCAGCGTGACCTGCGCCGCAATTCTTATCAATGTTATCAGTCACACAGTGGTCAAATGTAGGCACTATCACTATGTACCTACTTACTTGACTAAAAACGAGATGTTTTGAAAAGTCTTGGAAATTATTCCACGTGCTGGAATTATCAGCGAGATAGCTTATTAGCAGCATAATGTAGATTAGACATTAGTTGATCTCTCTTCCCAGTTAATGCCATGGCAACGCAGACATGAATGATGGTAGTTAATAATATAGTATTTGCGACAGTTAATTTATTTTATCATGATTTATCGTAATTTATCAAACAAAGTAAGCGTGTGGATAACTAAGTAGTTTTTGTCCTTTATACATGATTATTTGACGCCTTTTTAATTGCCTGTAATTGTGTTATTAGAGCCTGCATTACAGTGTAATCTTAGAGTGCACAATTAACTAACACTTAGCTGTTACGTGAGACGACAAAATTAATAATTACTTTGCAGTAATTGTAGAAAAACGCCGCCTTACATTATCATATTAATGGGATTTTTACAGGAAGCGTTAAAAACCCCTTGGCTTGGGTAAATTCTTGCATTTATTTTACTCAAGTTCTAACGCTGTTATGGTGGTGGTGTAGTTATTGATGGTTCACTGGGTTCTATAGGTACTGAAACCTGATAGCAGCATTGATTTGAAGAAGACTGGGACATGAATTTTTAATTTAGTCGAATCAATGGTTACTTACCTACCTATTGAACATTCATGAAGAAGCTCAAAGTTGCACAGCGTGCTATGGAAAGGGCTATCTATGCTCAGTGTTTCTTTACGAGATCGAATCAGAAATGAGGAGATCCGTAAACGAACTAAAGTCACTGACATAGCCCGACGGTTCAGCAACCTAAAGTGGCAATGGGCAGGGCACATTAAAATTATTACTTAAAAATATTATGACACAAACTATCTTGCCTATTAATTTAGGATGAAGAATTAAAGCAGTATATTAGGTAGGTACAGCGGAAAATTTAGTGATTTTGCAAGAAGGCAGTGCACTAAATGCAGAAAACAGACGTGTTACAAAACAAAAGTGTTATATTCTTACCGTCGCCATTGCCGAAAATCTCTGGAGTCTTGTCGATAGGCTCCAGCAGGCCGTCGTCGATGCCGTGGAAGGTATCAGCAGTCTCGGGCCGCTCGTCCATGTCCAGGTCGTCTACTTCAGGGCCTGGGGATGGGAGCCAGTGGAAAGCGGTGGGCAAGCTCAATCGTGAATCATTAAGCGAGTGTAGAATCATAAAAAAACGAGCAAAATAGGCATAAAGTGGGTTTTCTTGTCGCTTTGCCTGACGTATGTTTTTCAGTAGTAAAAGATCACTTGTTTGTAGTTCACTGGCGAAAACCTACACTCAAAAGTTGTAGGTTGCAGAAAAAGCCTTGAAAACTACTGAACTATTACAATTCTAAAATTAGGAAATAACTTTTGGCAGTAAGCGAACTCTACATTGCCTAGTCTAGTCAGTCTATTACAATCTCCATCATTTAAACTAAAAAGGAAAGCATTTATTACACTATTGCTGGGCACTGTACATAATGTACATGCGCGCGAGTTAAAAAAATACAGTATAGAGTTACCTGCCCTCTGTTGTTCACACCCTATTGTTACTTCGACCACAGCTTCGACTTATAGCGGGTGGTGGGCCGGGTGGTCACGGCGAGAGTCTCGATCAGCGTTGCCAGTTTTTTTTTTTCGCCAAGTCGGGACTTTGCTACTTTTTGAGTGAAAATAGCGGGATTTTTCCGTCAGAAGCGGGACATAGTAAAAAAAACGTATTTAATCAAAGGTTTTCAAATATTTATCTTTTTATTTGACTTAAAATTACGTTTACGTGATAATAGATAGCAAAAGTAGCCATAGAAAATGTATTTTAAATCCGACAATATAAACAAATCGATATTAAAAAAAAAACTTTAGAATAATATGGCGTTTCAAACAATAGTCTGGTGAAGTGAGTGTCTCTATCCGAAAAGCGGGACCGAGCCTGTCCCGCGCGGGACATTTAAATTTGATTTAAAAATCGGGACGTCCCGCCAAAATCGGGACGTCTGGCAACGCTGGTCTCGATAAATAACCCTAGGGTTCTATATTGGCTCACANAATGTTCGATGCCTAGTACAATGAGAAGTGGACTACCTGGTAAATATGAAAATCTCTTCGGATGCAGCGACTCGTATAATTACGGTCAAACTTCACTTAAGGTAAGTTTGTTTAACCATAAATTAAAACTTAAAACGTTTAAGCAAAAATTAATGCCCATGATTAATAATTACAGGACCGATGTCCAGTGGAAAAACCAAGGATACTGTGATTAAACTTTTTAAACAATGTAAGGTGCTACCAAGAATTTTTGCTTTTTATCCTCCCAAACCTCCCAAAGGGACTTGTGGCAAAATAGTAGCAAATAGTCCCTTTCAGATTCTAATAAATTAACTAACAAAAATGGTACCTGTGTAAAAAAAAATAAACACTATTGCTACACCAAATAAACAATAAGCAACAAGATGAATGCGCTGCAAAACTAATTATTTTGATTGTTTATTTCCAAACCCATGTCGTTATTATGACCACTAGCCACAGACCCGTATAAACCACAAGCACTGCGGTTGCCAACAGCCAGACGAGTTACGATCGCCCACGAAAGCAGTCCAAAGCCGGAATTAGGCTTAGCACGCGTTTTCACCTGTCTGGAATGTTTCTCTGTACTTTAACTTCTCTGGATCGACTAGTATCTAAGCATGTTGAACTCTTCGACTCGGAAGTTATGGTTTTTATTCCCAGAAGGAGCGAATATCGTGGAATATTACTCAAGTATTTTGGGTTAGTACCTATATCAAAATGAAATATTTGTATAAGTTTATAATATAAGACAAATGCGCTGCAATCTTAATAAGTAAGTCGAAAGGTTACTGCAATCTTAATAAGTAGGTCGTTAGGCTTAGCACGCGTTTTACCTGCCTGGAATGTTTTAGTCAATACCTCAAAATACCGTGGTAAGGGTACCTACTAAAAATGTTACACGCTAGACCCAGAGGATCTTCCCAGGCGGGGTATTTAATTATAGAGTAATAGGTACACTACTCTGTGTAAATTTTTCCTCTTTTATCATGATGATACTTGGATCAAACTAGGATGTCCCGATGAACAAATACCTATTAAAATATAGGTAAGTATGATTTCGAAGTGCACAAAAGGCTAATTTAGTCGTAACTCGTACAGTAGAAAATACGCTAGAAGCAGTATACTTTGGTCAACGTTATTACTTAGCCTAGCATTCATCAATTTCGCACTGACTAGCAATCTAGAAACTCCATTTGGTTCAACAATGTATGAGAGTGGGATACAGACAATATAGCGATCGATTAGTTGTTGTGTGGTTCTGTATTGTCTCTTGGAGCCTTTTTCTTTCTGCCTTTGTTGGTAGCACTTTGTTCTAGCCCTGAAAACCCTATTCCTACCTAGGGTAGGGGTATAGGGTGTGTTAGAGGTTCAATAATACCATTGAATGAGGGCTGTCGTTTTTATACTTAACAGACGGCACCCCTGGCGATTGACAGGACCTTACTCAACAGTGGCGCCATCTTGATGAGTGCAAATGCGATAGTCCTCCTACCACTTTAGCGCTCACCAGCTGGTGCCACTGTCTTCGCTACTAGCAAGTGACAGGACCTTACTCTACAGTGGCGCTAACTGGTGAGCGCTAAAACGATAGCCCTCATTGGGCATCTACTAATTGCGTAGGTACGAAGTGACTTTGTAAGCATATTTTATTTACGGGACAAGATTTTGAAATTTATTACACAACATCTATGGGACAATATTCTGACAGCTCATAAAACTATTTCAATTGATTGATAGATCTGCCCTATTAGCCTATAATCTCTCCTGTCCCCCTAGACAAGTGGCCAAACGTGACAGTTGTAATGACAAAAGGCCTTAGCTCCGGTGTTTTTTTTGTATGACATCGCTTCGTGAACGGTTTCGACTAGATTCGATAAAAAGTGCCACTTGTCTAGACCTACAGGGTTATTACATCCTACAAGCGACGAACAAGTGTGACCAAAGATTTTAATTTAAATTTAAAAATTTTATAGCTTATTAAGTGTTTACAGGCTGATCTTGTAATCAGTATCAATTTTTTTAAATAAGCTCTGTAGAACAATTATTTAACAATACAACTTTATCTTAATTAATTTTAATCGTGGTATTTTTCGCAAAAAAATGTTGAAAATCTAATTCGCTGGTGCCCATATCGTATTCATATTTTTATATGAACGAAGCTAATTATCCTCGTGTGCCAATTTTAAAGCCGCGCGCAGCGGATAAAAATAATTAAATATGAAAAAAATAATTGTTTAAGTTCTGATTCTGAGTCGCCTAAAAATTTGGATACTGATTGCAAAGTCGCTCTGTATCCTGCTTGCATGAATAGCTTATAAAGTGTATCTAAGGTTGTTACAGCCTACACAATCGATTAGGTGTTATAATAGGCACTAGCTAGTTCTACAGGCGGTACATTATTTCGTTGCCAACAAATTACTAGCCCGGCAGCAGTACAAGCTTAGTGCAGCACACGTTCGCACCTGTCCGGGAATGTGCCGGCTATTCCACTTAATTAAGCTGTTGTGGAAGGAAATTTAACAGCTGTGCGAGGTGTTTGGGGAATGGGACGAAGCATGTAATTCTTGTCGTTCATTTTGGAAAGTTATTACTCGCTGATGAATAAGTCAAGAGAGACTGCCATTGAAAATACAACGATTGGAGATGTCAATCAAAATGAAATAGTTTTTTTTTACCCAGTCAATTACCAAGCCTACTTTAGTCAAACCAAGAGGTCTACTACTGCAGTAGGCGTAGTAGTCCATTATGCGAGTATACAGTTTCCCATATAGGTGTTATTATAACATAATATTTATGTTACTGATCCATCATAGTGTTACGTTACCCACAAGGTGGACGGACGATCTCATAAAGGTAGCGGCAGGAAGGCGCTGGATGTAGGCTGCTACCAACCGGGAGACGTGGAAGTCATTGGTCGAGGTCTATGTTCATCAGTGGACGTCCTGTGGCTGAAAATGATGATGATCATGAAGAAAGCAACAGATAATAAAAAAACAATTAAGTATCAATTGTTATCTATATCAATAGACTCCAAATCTACCAAACCAAATCGGCCAAAGTTCCTCCATCCGTAGTCTCATCGAATTATCTACTCGAATAACCGAGGAGAAGTCAAAGCGTTGCGATTATTCGATTCAGGATGAGCTAGTTACATCAAGAACAACAAAGGCGAGCTTGTTACCCGTATAGCAGCAAAGATACGACAGGTAAAGGCGGTAGTACACTGGCTGGAAAGATATTTTTTGTCCCTCGGAGTAGTCTCAATAGAACATTAAAATTGTTAATGAATGAAAAAGTATTGAGTGAGTTTGAGCTTAGGCAAGTAGTCATTAAATGTTGTGAACGTCACTTTGAATATGTTTAATGTTCTCTTTCTTTGCTATCTTCTTCAGATCATCTGTTTATCGAGGAGCCTGGGGGTCTCCCTACACGCGCTTTCTTCTTGGGACTATCTGTCTATCCAGGGGCGCCCTACCACCCTGTTCGCTGACGTTTGGTCTCCATTAGCAAACCAGCTTACTCTATTTTTCATTGGCAGATATGGTTAACCCACTGCCACTGGTTACTGGCCTACCTGAAGAGCTAGAGAGAGGATGCTTTCAATTTCATTAAATACTAAAATCCGGGTCAGTGCAGTTTTACAGAATACCAAATTATTATTGATGATTATAAAAAATACTGTTGTCACGACTGGGTTTCGGCCGTGAACGTAGGATAAATAAATGATACACGTCGTATTCAGTAAATTCCGGTTTATTGGCGCAGCGCCCGACCAATGCGCCTGCGTCTCCACAACTGACTCATACATGTCGGGAATAACACATGCAGCAACACATACACATAGATAGGTGGTACACATTACATCGTAAGTAATACGACCCCACACTGTAATAAATATCTTCCAATAGCATTGGATCACTAGCATAAGTTTAGGAAACGTCCGATTTCCCGGACGGCGGGCGGCGCGCACAAAACACTCGCTCAAATGTACCGGAATAATTGTTATTGTATTCCCGCCGTATATGCGGCGCTGGCAATATGTGCAGTGC